GATGTGCTCAGTCCCGAGAAGGCTAAAGGCAGGGGGAGGGAACAGAGAAGGTGCAGCCCAACTTCTTGAATGGGTGCAGTAAAGGGGTGAAAGGCAACGGGCACAAGCTGCGATGAGGAAAATTCCAGTGAGAAGTTAGTGGGAAGAAATTCACCCCGAGGGTGGTCAGGCGCTGCAACAGGGGGTTTGTGACATCTCCACCCTTAGAGATGGAGACTGGGCAAGGTGGTGAGCAGCCTCGTCTAACCTGGTGCTGCTTTGTGAAGAGGTGGGGTCAGAGCCCTCCAGAGGCTCCTCTCAATCTAAATTGTTGTGGAGCATCACGGAATCATAAAGAGCCAGATCTGTACCCTGTGGTACCCATGTGTTGCCATGACCAAACACCGTGGAGCTGCAGAAAGCATCTTCTGAGGGAAAAAACAAGTTGTTTGGTGAGTGAGCTTAGAAGAAGAGCTCACTGGGTTTGACCAGGCTGAGAGTCTATTGAACAAGCCCATCCTACAACTTTTCCAAGACTTTGGAAGTTTTCCCCCATCTGGATTAAGCCTGTGCCAACGCGTACCAAAGTCTCATGGCCCCTTTCTACACTCTGTCCTGCTTTCTGGATTTGATTGTTGTGAATATCTCTGATGCAAATTCAAGCAAGGTCAAATCTTCAAAAAAAAAAAAAAAAAAAATTGCCCAAAGAGATCGTAAATATGTGGGTTAATGACTAATCAAACTCTGCTGCCTCCCCACATCCCAGGAGGATGTGGCAGGGACAGGGAATCAGTCTATTTACAAGGGTCATTTATCTACAAAATGCATCCACATGGAAACATCCTCCTTTGGCATTCGGTGCAAATCTCCATGGCCTTTACGTGTCCAAATCATTCATGGATTTCATCTGAGGAAACACAGCTCTACCTAAAACTACAGGGAAAACGAGACTAAATGTTTTTTTTCTGGTTAATTGCCCCACTCGTATGCTGCCTAATACAGCAAAGAATACTACAAGTAACTTGTAAGATCATGTCATAAAAGTTTACAAACACTTTCTCCCTTCTACCAAAAGGATTTTGCTGCTACTGAAACAGGAGATGCTTCCTTTGTCAGGTCTGAATGTGTGGAAACGTTGAGGTCTCCGACGGTGGTTATCTTCATACTTTGGTTCAGGTGTCTTAAAACTGCTCCTCACTGCGAGAAGTTCTGTAATTCAGAGTTTGATCGAGCACAGCTGTCCAGCAGTTAATTATTTAAGCCTTGTTGCCTCTTGTCAATGTGCAACCAGGAGATAGAGGAAGATGGCTCCAGAGGGAACAGTGCCTCCCACCCCGAGGGGAGAAGCTTTCCTTGAGTAAATCTACACCTCTTAGTACACCCCCTTTCCCAGAGCTGCCAGCATGTAGGAATTTTTGAGCTTACGGGCATGTGATGGTAAGAAAAATATTAATTTTTCATGAGAAGCACATGGATTTGTCATGGCTTTTTGGTTACAATTACTCTATGCTAAGACAGCAGAAGGTGCAGTTAAAATAATGAGCGTATTTTTGCTTTTATCAGTCTGGACAATAGGAAAGACTCCATGAACTCCTTCCTAAACAAGATTTCTTTTCTGGGCAAAAGGATCTGCTCTTTTCTTCTTGCTCACGAATAGCTGCTTTTGCCTGATAGCACGATGAAACAGCATCATTTTCTGGAATAATATCTTTTATCCTACCTGAAACTTCCCTGCTCTGCAGTTTTATTGTATTAATCTCAGTGCCATGAGTCAGCGTGCTCTCAACGCTGCTGGGAATTCTCCCTTCCCTATTTCTCTCTTGTTTTCTCACCTCCATTGCAACCCCTCAATCCCATATTCTCCTTGTGACAAGGCTAAGAAAACGTGTTCTGACACACTGAGTATCTCTGCCACAGTAAGCACCAATAAAGCCAGAGGAAATTAGGGACATGGGAATGATGGGACATAGTGCTATAAGCTATGCATTAGTCCATGTATGGCAATTCTCCAACACGAGTCAAGATTTGCAAGCTCTGATTTTCTAAAACGACACTCTTAGGCTTGCAGCCCGTTCCACCATCCATCCCTGTGTACATCAGCAAAACATCAGATCGTGAAAAAAATCATTTTGTGATTAAGTCAAGGAGAAGACAACAAAATAGTTAAAAAAAAAAAAAGACTACCCCTTGACACAGAACGCAGAGTTGTAAACTTTGTAGGTGCTGCTGAATTGTGTTTTAGTCTGCCAATCCCAGACCCCTGCCATAGCTTTGAATTTCTCCAAGCTGCTCCTGGTGGCCAGGGGTCTGGTGTACTCTGACCTCGCTGCTCATCGACGCCGCTCTGGGACGTTCAGCCCATTCCAGCATCTGCCGACGCATCCTTCAGGGACCGCCGGCGCCGGTGTCGTTTGCAGCACAGCGGAACCGCCGTGCTGCTGGAGAATCATAGAATCATAGAATCATAGAATGGTTAGGGCTGGAAGGGACCTTCAAAGGTCATCTAGTCCAACCCCCCTGCAAGGAACAGGGATATCTCCAACTAGATCAGGTTGCTCAGGGCCTCGTCCAACCTGGCCTTGAACGTCTCCAGGGATGGAGCATCCACCACCTCTCTGGGCAACCTGTTCCAGTGTTCTACAACTCTCATGGTAAAAAATTTTTTCCTAATATCCAACCTGAATCTACCTCCCTCTATTTTAAAACCATTACCCCTTGTCCTATCACAACTGGCCCTTCTGAACAGCCTCTCCCCATCTTTCTTGTAGGCCCCCTTGAGGTACTGGAAGACCGCTATAAGGTCACCCCGGAGCCTCCTCTTCTCCAGGCTGAACAGCCCCAACTCTTTCAGCCTGTCCTCATAGGAAAGGTGCTCCAGCCCTCGAAGAAGCAGAAGTTGGAAACGTCTCCAGGTGAGGCTGCAGGAAGCACCGGCAGCTCCGGGCTTGAATGGAGCAAACTGCTGCTCTCCCATCTCTGGCAGCTGCAAGCGGTGGCTCAGACCAAGGCTGCTACATAGTGATGTATCAAATTTCCTCACTCTAATTTTTGGCCCAGTGGTACCTAAGCAGCAACAAATCTCCCTGCCATCCCCCAGGCATCCGTATTCCCACGGAAAGCACTACCCCTGCTAAACTTGGTCATCCTCGCAGGTAAGCTTGGGGCAGGAAAAGGATTTTCTGCCCTCAGAGGCTCTGTTGGGATGTCTGCTTTTATGATGCCTCTTCAAGGCAATTGATTTCCTTGCTGAAAGGGAAAAGGCAGGACTGTTTCAGCACACACTGGCTGCAGCAGCAGACTTTGGTCCGCTGTTTTTCCTTGCAGAAGGCGCGCGCTGCGCAAAATCAACTTGCAGCAGCTTCTGATAAGAAGATGCAATGTCAAGGTCCTGCCTGAGAGAAGCCAAGGAAAGAAGCACTAATAACAATTTTTTTTCAAAGCTTGGTTGGGGTAAGGGAAGGATTTTCAAGGACTCTGTGATTTAAACAGTTACCAGAAGTTTGTCATCTGCGTCAGCTGGAAACTCTTTTCTCCTTGAACGGACAGGGTTTTGCTTTCCCGCTGTCGCTCGCCGCCTCGGTTTTGCTCTGAAAAGCACTGATGTGGGGGGTTCTGTCTCTATAGCTGTTCTCCAAGGCTCTCTTTCACGAGAGAAGTGAACAAAATTCACGACCACAGAGCAAAACAGGGAGTTTAGGCGTTAGTAAAGCCTTTACAGAGACCCATTCCAGCTGTGCCTGAAATCAGTGATCCCCTTTCCCGCGATTTCAGCAGCTGCTGGGCTGCTTTGTAACGTCCCCCAGCAGCACACCTCGCTGCAGGTGGGTACCTATTTCACATCTGGTTCCAGTAGGGATGTCTGCCTGTCCCTGTCCGGGAGACAGACAGAAATCTGGCTCTGCTCAGAGTGTCGGTACGCAGAGACCGGGGAAGGCAGCGCGGGAATGACGAGCTTCAGGCTAATGCCCAAGCCCTGCCCTGGGCTCACGCTCGAAAAGAGTTTTGCTGGAACTGGAGTGAAACCTTAGGGAGAAACATCTGGGCGTTCTCCCTGCGTTTTGGAGCTGGAAAAAGTCACGACACAGTTCGGTGCAAAGGCACACGCAGCCAGACACAGTCTTATTTTCAGGAGGTACTCCCACACCAGGCATTCCAGAGGGGAATCCTTTCCTCCAGCAGCTGCAATTTAACCCATCTGCACGTTAGACCGTTTCAAACACCTGAGCAAAAATCCAAAATCCCAGAGGTGAGTTTGCAATCGTGCGCAGAGAGAGTGAGAATCCCGTGCTGCAACGGGGAGCCCAGCATCCAAAAAAAATCCTGCAGCAGTAGAACCCCCCCTCTCAAACAGTTACAAACAGCTGTTTACATTTAATTGCAACGTTCTCACCATTCATCCTAACACTGTGTTATGCAAGGAAGTGCAGCTACGGGGAATTATCGGGGTGAGGGTTTGCCCTCCGAGGATTTAGGCAGGCTGGAGCGCATCCAGGCAGGCGCCTGGACCTTTTGGGGAGGGGAAGGGAGGGAGGGGAGGAAAGGGGAGGGTAGAGGAGGGGAGGAAGCACCCAGTTCTCTTGCAGCCAAGGAGCCACACCAGTGGGAGGGGAAGGAAAAAAGACCAAGGTGGTGCTCTGCCATCTATAAATACAGGCAAATCTCCCCCACAGTCTTTTGAGCGCCAGGGAGGTGGAACCAAGGGTGGAGGCAGGCTTCTGTGGGGTTTCTTTGGCACTGGAGTTGATTTTGAGCAGTTTCAGATCTGTTCATTTCCTGGGTTCGTCATAGTTTGTAAATAGTTTTCGCGTAGGCGACTTCGGAATAGGAACAGCCAGCGAAAGTGAGGAAAGGCTTTAAAAACTGTTGTTTAACGTGGAGGTCAGAGTTTGTTTCCCACTAGCCTCTCCTTCCGGTACCACCCTTTGGCTCGCAAAGGCTCCAGAGGTTGATGTTGTGCATTTATTTCCTCAGGCAGGAGGTGACCCGGCCGGTCTGAGCTCACGGAGGGGCCGTTTGCCACCGAGCAGCAAAGCCCGAGCGATGTCCCTGGCTGGGATCCGGTGCCTGGTGACAGGAGCTGGAGGATTTCTTGGCCAGAGGATCGTCTGCTTGCTGTTGGAGGAAGAGGAGGCTCTGGCTGAGCTCCGGCTGCTGGACAAAGCCTTCAGCGACGAAGTGCTCGGGAGATTTGGAAGTGAGTACCACCTCGTGGGGGCTGCGGGAGCAGCTGTAGGTGCTGCTGTCTCAGGTGGATAGCAGGGCAGTCTCTACCTCCCACCCAAACCCAGCTTTGCAGATGGAGGTGTCATTTCTAGGAAGTCTTGCTTGGTCTCTCCCTCTCCCTCCAGCACAGAAAGATGCAAAACAGAAAAGCAAGAGTTTTCTTTGCCAGACCCTGAGGCTGCTGCAGGACACAAGACAGACCTACGTGCTGTTAATACAGCAAACAGGTTGCCTTCAACCTGACTTCTATCACACCAAATTCCACAAAATTAGTGCAAAACCCTCACATTTCTGCTGGGGGGAAGGGAAATGCAAGCACTGCTCTACTGGGGGGGGGGTGAGCAGCGTAACCCAGAGCACACTCCTGGGCTCTCACGTGCAGGACTAGACAGCAGTGGCAAAGTTGTGGGTGCAAGTGCTAATAGTTTTCTTTAACCTGTGATTAGTTTGGTTAATCTGCGATCCGCTGGCTGAGGGGTGTGATGAGGTGTCTTAAAAACGTGTTGTTGTTGTTGTTATTACTATTATGGCAGTTGCCTGGAGAGCAGAACCCTTTTGTGCTCTGCACAGAGGAGACAGGACCCGTTTGCAAAGGGCAAGTCAGCACTCTGGCTCTTGAATGGCCTGGAGATGGCACAAATGAGTGATATGCCCAGTGTCAAAAAAAAGACCCTGTGGTGGTGAAAGCAGATATATAATGGGACATTATATATTAAACGTCCCATTTCCTGGGGTCCTGAGCACATCTACACAAAGGCATGTAGGAACCTAAATCCAGTCGAGTTCTTAAGTCCCATCACACTTACTTGATAACGTTTTCCTCTGTCACATCTTAACCTTAAAACTGTTCTTCCCCTACACAGGCAGCTATATGGGAACCCTTAGGGAGTAGCCCCATACGATTTGCTAAGAAGCCACTTAACTGCCCAGACCATCCCTCTCCTATTCTTGCACCTTCCCTGCTGCTTACCTGACCAGCACAGGAGGAAGGGAAAAATGAGTTACCAGAGCTTTTTTTTGCCCCCAACCAGGCAGTAGGAACAACAGGTTGGCATTTCAGATGTGTTTGAAGAACCTTGAACCCCTGCGCTTTGACGGGCAGTTCCTCTGTCCGTGTCAGCCCCTATAGCTCCATCTCCTCCAGCGTCCTGCCAGTGCCTGTGCTCGCCACTACCCAAAATATTTTCCTGCTGGTCCCTTCCGAGCCCTCCTCTAGCACAGAGACTCCTGTTCCAAACGCAGCGCTGCTGCAAAAAACGTGGGGCTGGACTCTTCTGACCTGCATTATTTTTAGTGCAGGGACTTGCAGCTTACGTTGTTTGGATTTCTTGACTAGCCAGGAGCAGAGCTGGGTGGTTTTCTTCCTCACCAAGCCCTTGAGCACCTTTTACTTGCAGAATCGTTGCAGAGTCAGGGCTGTGGGCAGTGAGATTCAGGAGATGGTGCAAGTTGCAGCTCTTTGGGCCAGGAGACGCTCAGGGACACTCCTCTTTTGTCCAAACCACTTTCCTCCGTAGCCCTTGACCATCGCACTCAGCCTGTGTAAAACAGTCTTCCACAGCCCTGCGGAGTTCGGGATGACCCAATCAATGTCAAGTGCTGTGAGCTGGAGTCTACCCAGTTACGCACTGGGGCTGAGAATGAACCTCACGTTGAACACAGCAGTTTGGTGCTTTGGGTTTCCTACCTCCCATCTCACTTCCAATTTATCTTTCGGCCTTACCTATGCTTCCACTTACGCAATTCTTTTTGTTGTGGTTGTTCACTATTGCACTGGCACTTCTGGAAAAGTTGGAAACTCCTAGTTTGCTCGCAAGAGGATTTCTCACTATTTCAAAACACTGATTCCCCCTTGTCTCATCCTTTCATACATCTCCCCCCTCTCTCTCTCACCCTCATTTTATGTCATTTTTCAGACACAGACATAGATTGTGTGATGCTTGAGCATCGAGTCTTTTCGCACTGCTGACGCCGTACCGCTCCAAAGTAGAAGGAAAGTAGAAGGAGAAGGAATGTTGGTTTTTTATTTTCCAGGGCCCTGCTCTGGAAAACTTCCTTCTGGCTTTTTGCTCAGCGTTACAGACGCTCACTTGCCTTTATCACTGCATTCAAAACAGAAAGGCAGAGTAGCAACAGAACATCCCAGTAGCTGAAATGGGAGCAGAACAATCATTTCCGCTTCACTGGGCCAAAGAAGCCAACAAATTGCTTCACCCTTTCCAAATGAAAACAAGATGCAATTTTTTATTTTTCTCCTATGACTATGCAAAGTAGACCATTTTAATGAACCATCTGGTTAACCAGGAAGGGAGATCTCTCATGAGGAGTGCCTTCCCCACCACCCACCCCGCAGCTCTTAGGGCCTCCATAAAAGAGCACGAAGAAATTCAAGCTACGTCCCACAGACATCGTTGCTTGCTTGAACTTTAAACAACACATAGAGAAGAGGAAGACAGTTTAGGGCAAAGTCTGACTGGATTGCTGAGTCAGATGCTGCTCACAGCAGGACATTGAATTTTATTGAGTAATCATTGCCTTTCCACACAAAAACTGCCCTGCAGCGAGCAGGGAGCATTGCTCAGCGGACACAGAAGCCATTGGTGAAGCAGAAGCAGCTTTCCCAGTGGGTAGGTACCTTCTCATGATCACTGTGTGCAAAAATGGAGAGCTGAGTTGAATTTATTCTCTTCCTCCCCCTTCCACCTGGCACACATGTGCTCTTTTGATGCCTGGGCAATGGTTTAGGCAGATGGAAACCAATTTTCTCTCTGCTGTCCATCTCAGACTGGAACCACTGTCAGTCGTTTCTTTCCTTCCTCTGCTTCCAGGCTCCCCTGGAGTTTTCTTCTTCCCCCAGAGCAAAACGAGATCAATCTGCTGCTCCCTGACATCCAGCTGATGCTGGTAAAGTGAACGAGGCCCCTGTACTTACCAGGGCAACTTCTGCTGAGTAAAGCTTTGATTTGCATCAAACTCCTGCCCAGGCAGAGCAACCACTCTGAAGTGGACACGTGTCAGAATTTACATTGTGAAAACGGTGAATTTCAGTCTTTTGGGTTACTGCAACCCCCCCAAAGCATGACCCGGGGGGAACTTCAGCCGAAGGGCTGCACAAAGACCAGTGTTAGAGCAAAGCTAACTGCCGGGTGCCGCACCAAAAGCCCAGAGCCAGAGTGTGACACTTTTGCATCCACACAAGTAGAGGTCAGTGTAATCCTTCTGGAAAAGGCATCCCAGGAAATGAATGTGCTCTGTAAGATAAAAAAGTGCAAGCGGGCATGAGGCAGTGGCTGTGCTGGGAGGGCAGTAACTCCAGATTCAGTAACAGTTTTTTAAACGTTTCACAAATTTCACATCTCAGACCAACTGATTGTGATGAAAAGAAACACCCCAGACCCTCAAGTCTGTTGCATCAGGATAATTGTTAAATTAAGAGAGGATTACATTCTAGCGTGCTAGAGAGATAATGGGATAAAACCATTTTAAAAAGTGCTCCCACTCAGTTCCAGATGCCAGCAGCTGTCTCTTTTAAAAAAGACACAGGATGAAATACTGCCTGCTTTGGAGCCGGTGGCAAAGCACTAGGATATATGAGATTTCAGTCACAGCAGAGGCTAAAAGCTGTATAAATTAATCAGGTTCTTCTCTTATCTAAAATGGGTGTTTAATTATGCTGGAAGGAGACAGAGGATCTGCCCGTGCTGCGGTCCCTTCCCAGTAGCTGTGCCTGGGAAGCCTCTAGTGCAACCACAGCTGAGGCTCCGGAGGACTTCTCCTGCTGTAGTGACAGCACCTCCTTAAAAGCTCCAAGTCATGCTGAGAAAGCCCTCTCCTCTCCTCTCCATGGCATAGCTGCAGCCAGGCCAACAGACTTCCCAGCAGAGCAGCATCACCTCGGACTATAAATGTCTCTGGGTGACCATCCTGTGCTGGCTCAATTAGTTCTGGGATGTGTGTAAGGATGCTTCCACCCAGGAAAACGTAGGGGAAGGATCGCTCCGAGACCTTGGACTGCACCAGGGTGGCACACGTTAGCTGCTGGGGAGGGAGGGGGCTTAGAGAAGCAGGGGTTAAAGCAAGTTAGGGCTGAGATAGCTCAGGAGAGCAGCCTGCAGAGTTGAGATTCGGTCCAGGCAGATGTGCACGCTGAAAAAAAACCCCAAAAAACTATGTTGAATAGTGACTCCAAAAATACGGTAGGTATTGCAACACAGGCTTCTGCAGCACTTGGCACTACAGCTGTTGGAAAATGCCTTGTTTTGCCAGCTTTAAGATACTGTTCCCGTGCCCAGGTGGGCAGCACCTCCTGGGCTCAGCATCAGCATCCCCACAGCCCTTCGCCGCTCCGCGAGGACTCTTCTGAGGATCGTAGAATGGGTTGGGTTGGAAGGGACCTCAAAGATCATCCAGTTCCAACCCCCCTGCCATGGGCAGGGACACCCTCCACTACACCAGGTTGCTCAAATGCCTCTAAGGTCTTCTGCTTTCTTTTCTGCTGCCCTTGCAGAGTTCCAGGGTAAGACTGAGGTGCAAATCCTGGAAGGGGACATCCGAGATGTGACGTTCCTGCACCGTGCCTGCCAGGGGGTCTCCCTCGTCATCCACACCGCTTCCATCATTGACACCCTGGGCCTCGTGGAGAAGGAGCTGCTCTGGGAAGTGAATGTGACAGGTGAGTGGGTGAAGCACCTTTCTCAAGCCCGTGTCTAATGTGTGTTGATCATCACCTGCCCGGGAAAGGGAACGCCTGGCCTCTTAACTGGGGTTTCTGCATGTCACACAGCCATACACGAAAAATACTCCAAAATCCCAACGTGCATCTGAGAAAAGTTGTTTCTTATTCTCCCTCCCCGTGTAGCATCACTGCCTGTGCACGTTTTTTTCATTTTTAGGAACACTGCAGGCTTTGGCCACAGTCACAGCAAACGTGCACTGCTAATGTCCCAGACCCTGTGGCTCTCTGCTTCCTACTCTTTTTCTTCCTCCTCTTCTCCTTTTCCTCCCATTTGCCATCACGTTGTGTGTGCACAAACGCCCTTCAGATGAGTAAGTGCTTTTCTATCATTAAAAATCCCAAAAAAACTCTAGGCTATGGGAGGGAGGAGTTTCAATGACTTCTCACTCCATGATGGGATCTCCCTTTCTACTAAGCAGCCTCTGTTCTTCATGAACAGATCGGATGAAAGGGGAAGTTCTTGGCTTAGGAATGGCCTGTGTGGCATCAGCTGCCAGGAAATTTAAATACATTTCCGAAAAGAACAACTTCATCCTCCTCCCTGCGATCCCAAACCCCTCTGTGCCCTTCAGAGCCCTGGTGCTGCCTGACCCGTGAGCACACTGACCTCCCTGGCTCCTTGGTGAACATTTGGGGATGATTTTCTTATTTACCTGAATGGTTTTCCTGGTTCTTTGTCCCTCTCTGCCACGGGTACAGGGCTTCTTCACACAAAAATAAGGAACATACTTCTCCAGGCACCACTTTTACAAATACTGGCTGCTCACCAGCGCTCAGAGCAAGAGAGCGTTCTTTGCAGTTGTCTCTTACATGCACCTTAAAAACAGTGGGATGGGATTTTGGTTGTTTTAGCCCAGCTTGTTGCCTCTACATTCAGCTTCCAGCCCCTTTCTCTTCTGCTCAGTCAAAGCCAGGAATTGTCAGTGACCACTGGTGCCTGCCAGGAGGGAGAGCAGCAAGGCAAGTTCCTGTGAACCTGTGCACTGGGCAGTACGAAAAATAAATATACAGGGGTGGTAGTTCAGAAAGAGGATTTGTAAAGTTCTCTCTTTATGACCACACTCCTGCTACAATCTGTTTTTCAGAGCAAAATGTCTTGCCTAAACCCATGGGGGAAAAAAAAACCCACACCAAAACCCCAAACAAATGTGAAAATATCCCAAAAGCAGAAAGTTCTCTAGCCTTGAGCTGGAGTCAGAGCTGGAGAGTTTATTTAAGTCTGCCCCATCATTCCTTTTGGCAGGTTTAGCCTTATGCACAAAGCATCCAGGCTGTCAGAAATCTTTCAGGTCCCCCCCGGAGCAGAGTCTGCCCGCGGGTGAAATAAGCCCACTGCACCAGTGAGGGGTGGCTGATAACTTTTGGTGGAATGGAAGCACCCACTGGTCCTGCTCCCAGAGCAAACCGACCCCGAGGTCACGCAGTACATACTGCAGTCCTCTTCCCTATCTCCCTCCATCTCCATTCTGATGCTCTCCTGGCTTTCTGACCAGCCAAGCACACTGCTACGCACGTCACAGACTTGCAGGATGAAAGTTCTGTTTCTCCCAGAAAGCAGAACTTTTGTAACACAAATGTGTTGCAGAATCAGACATGGATGGTCACAAACCAGAGGAGAAGGACACAAGTTAAACCTGCCATGAAGTAGGGCTCTCCTGTCTCACATGCCACACAAGGTCTCGGAGCAAAAAATATCCTTTCAGGAAGGGATGCAAATTTTTAGGAGGAAGGGAATTAAGAAAATAATTAAATATAATCCAAACAAAAGTACTGGCTCTACTTTTGTTTGGATTATATTGGATCCTCAGGCAGAAGGGCTCTGGGTGCAAGCAAAACCTGGAGACCTGCACCATGGAATCTTGACAAGCCATGTGAGAGATGCTCCAATTCCCATTACCGCGGTTGCATCGTTTACCTACAACTTGGATTTGCAAATAAAACACCTTTTATTTGGGTGAAATCGATCTCGAACAGACACCAACTGCCAGGATAACTTTATGTTTGCTATTTTTAAAACGTGCTACCCAGTTTGATTTTATCTGGACTTTCTGTGCTGTGTTACTTTCCCCCACCTTCTAAACAGGATTGACGGCAGGAATTAAGCTATTAATTTAAAAAATAATATTTTTTTTTTTTAATTAATTAATTTTCCTGACGATTCTGCCTAAGCATAGCGACTTGCATGAACTCACTTTTCCCATGAATTTACTCCTGGCTGTATAACCTTGTTTTCTTTGCACTTATTTAGTGTTTCTTAAACCCCCATCCAGCTTTACTTTCCATTTGTTTCACCTTCTTTCTTTTCCTCGTTCAAGCTTGAAAAAAAACGAATTTTGGTGCCCTACCAGTATTCAGTTCAATAATTCTTCCCATCGCCCGCTCATTAACGGGTCGATACTCTGCTGCCAGTATTTCTTGGTCCTCTGAACCTCCCTTACTCATCACATTGTCCCCAGTGACACGTGCCTGCTCCGCACTGCTCTGCCTTTACTTGCTGTTGTAACGACTGAGCAGACTTGTTAGCTCATTTCTGCGCCTCGTCGCTAGCTTTTGATTTTATCCCCTTGATTTTGGGCCACACCCTGCTGATATCACAGCAGTTATTTTGCTTCGATGTTCCTTTGCCAAAGATGTTGTGGAAGGTCTTTGAGCTGTGTCTTCTGTTCCAAAGTCGCTGGCTCTTTCACACGCAATCTCTCTCATTACATCATGCACAACAAGTAAGGCAATTTCTGCCTCCGAGCTCAGAAGAAAGAGAAAAGAGTCCACTTGCCATTAAAACAGCCCAATTTATTAAGAGACTTATTTTCCCCTTGAATGTGCTTTCCTAGATTGACTCTCTCTTGGCTACTTGAAAGACCTTGAACTTGCCAGTTTACCTCTGCTCTCCTCGATGAGCGCATTGAGAGAACTGCTTCTGGTCTCTGCTCTCCTCGATGAGCGCATTGAGAGAATTTTCAAAGTAAGAAATCCTGCATTTCTGCAAGTAAAAGCCAGAATATGCCAAAAAAGGAGGCAGAAAATACACAGCATCACTTTTTGCTCACTGAGCATTACCCTCTGCTCTTTGACCACACGGTATCACACGTTGTTCCGACAGAATATCCTTCCCTTCAAGCCCTCCTCTGAAGCCAGCTGAAGAGTGGGTAGACTCGCATTGGGTGAAGCTGCTTTTGGAGCAAAGCTTCAAGTCCCACATTAATTCTGTCCCTGCTTAGCAAACCACCCAAGAGCATCCTCAAGCCTGGAAAACAGAGGCTTCAGCGTACAGGATGGATGGTACCTAATGAGAGGGGCAGCTTCTGGAGGTTCTCTGCCCTAAGCCAAGCCAATCCAACCAGCAGGTGCAAGCCCTGAAGCTGTGGTCAGTACCCACACCAACCCGAGCAAGAGCAAACTCTGACTCTTGACATACAACCCCCCCACACCATGAGATTAAGACCAAGTGTTTGTCCTTGTTTAACTCCAGCAGGTGCACTGATACCACCTAAACACAGATTCAGAGCAGGTTTGGTGTCACTGAACATGCTGCCCAGTTCAGGACAAGATTCTTCCAGCTGCAGAGAGGGGAGGTCTGGCCAAGCTCAGGCCAGAGACGCTGTTGCTGATCCAAAAAGCCCACTTTTCCCTGCTTGGAGAGCTCTAGACTGACTTGTGTGTTTCTCTTTTGAAGGTACTCAGCTCCTGCTGGAGGCAAGTGTCCGCTGTAACGTCCAGCACTTCATATACACCAGCACCATAGAAGTGAAAGGCCCAAACTGCAAAGGTGACCCGATTTTCAACGGCGATGAAGACACAGCCTATGACAGTACATCAAAATCTCCTTATGCCCAGAGTAAGAAACTGGCAGAGGAATCTGTGCTGAAAGCAGATGGCCAGACGTTAAAGGACGGTGGCGTGCTGACGACTTGTGCCCTGAGATCCATGTACATTTTTGGAGAAGGATGCCCGTTTCTTCAAGGTCATCTGGATAACTGTCTGCTGAACAAAAACGTCTATCTGCGCTTCTCCAGGAAGGAGGCTTTGGTGAACCCCGTGTACGTGGGGAACGTCGCCTGGGCACACGTGCAGGTGGCCAAAGCCCTGCAGGTCCCTCAGAAAGCCAAGCACATCAGGGGCCAGTTCTACTACATCTCCGATGACACTCCTCACATGAGCTATGCAGATCTAAATTATGAGCTGACCAGGGACCTGGGGTTTGGGATCGAGCCCCGGCTCCCCATGCCTCTGACCATGCTCTATTACTTCTCGCTGCTGCTGGAGATCGTGAGCTTCTTGCTCCGGCCCTTTGTCAGGTACATCCCCCCCACCAACCGTCACCTGGTCACGCTACTGAACACCCCATTCACCTTCTCTTATAGGAAGGCACAGAAGGATTTTGGCTACACGCCTCGCTACACATGGGAAGAGGCCAAGGAGTGCACCGGCCGGTGGATTGCCTCCTTGGTCCCACGGAGAAGGGAGTGCTTGAAAAGCAAGGCTGCCTGAGCCTTTGGAGGAGCTGGGTCCTGGCTCCACCAGTAGGGCCAGGAGCCAGAGGAGAGCTGGGTAAGCAGCAGCAGCAGCAGATAACGACAAAGCATTTAAATGAAGACCCCCCCCACCCCCCTGCCCCAACCCAGAATAAATAAAAGTGAAACGCTCATTTGTTTGTTGAGTACAGGCTGATCAGGGTCGCTTTACTCTATAGTCCGCATCCACTCCTACATCTGGTGTAGCACTAAGATACTATTTTAGTAAGACTCTACACAGTCCGTGGTGTGAACACATCAGCCCTTCTTTTCACTCGATGTCACCTTTCAGGCTTTCATAAAGCACAGCTCATCCTAGAACCAGAACTACTCCTTACAAGTACGTACTACTCGGCCATACCCTACCCACCGGCTCTTGACCACGCAGCAGGATGAAGCCACCCGACTGCAAAAGCTGTTTGTTACAAATCTCGCTCACTTTTTCAAGAGTGTTGTCCACTTCCATGGGCCATTCACCTGACAATCAAACCTGAGAGCAAACTGGGGCGCTGTAAGCATCGTGAGGCCAGAAGCACATCGTGAAGTGCAACGTGGTTTTGGTTAGGAAGGTGTGTGGAGGGAGAGAAGGGGCAGATCGGGTGAAGGCTTCCTTACCCATTCTCGTTTTCCTAGTTACCAATTTTGCAATAAATCTGATGGCTGCCCAGCAGAACAACAGCTTCAACAAGACGAAAAGGAGAAAAATACTGCAGGATGGCCTTGGTCACTGAAGGGCTTCCATTGCAGAGTCAAGACATTTGTGAACACTGAGGAAAAACAAACAGTGCTGAAAAAAAAAATCATGCTATTTGCAGGTTTCAGCTGGGAACAAAGGCTAACTTTAGCTGATAGATGCACGTGTGCTGCCCCTATCCTCCTCATATGGGTTTCTGCAGAATGTGTAACTTGGCTTTTGGGCCAAAAATGTAGAACTTGTCTGAACAAATAGATGTGATTCAGTGTTTGCTTCTTAAATATACAGCTCATTTGCTGAAAGCAGCTCTGAGAGATGGGAATTCCTCTGTTCTGGTCAGGATGGTGTGAACAGAGACATTTTACCTGGCTCAGTGCTAAAGTAAATAAAGCACATTTCCAGTGATGCTGGCAACTTAAAGTCTGTGTTGAGTTTAGTTACTCGGTGCCCTAGCCAACAGATATTGTGCAAACATCACCATTTTCTGTAGTAACATCTTAGGTTCAGGATGTAAGATCTGAAGCAGCAGAACACCTTTGTTCACGCTCTGTTCCCCTCCCATCACTAAACGATGATTTGTCTTGCTTCCATCCACTCTCCACTATTCCCCTTCTCATCGCTGCCAGACCCCTCTGATGAGAGCTCCCTCCCTCTCCTGCTCCCTCCATTTGTGCTTTTCCCCTCCCTTCCCGTTCCCATCCTGCCCAGCCCTCTCTGGTGAAACTGTTCAGCTACAGCCCCTCTGTTCGTGCTGTCTCCCCTTGAGCCCCACCATCCACCTTAGTCCCCCTCCAGCCTCCTGCACCCTTGGCTTTGTTCTCACCAGATGGTTCCTTTCTGCTCCCCTCTGTTCCCATTCCCATTCCCATTCCCATTCCCCTCTTTTGGCAGTCTGTGCCCCTCCAGTCCCCACCATCCGTGCCCTGCTCCCTTCCCATCACCTGCTTTCACACCTTTCCCAGGCAGAAGGCTCCAAGCTGGCCAAAAGCCTCCGAAACCCTCCCAAAAATGTACAACTCACCGCCCTCTGAGCTACGGATCAGCTCCATGTGTTTACTCCGAGGCTGAGGAAGGCTCTCGGGATGCGTACGGCACCACGCTGCTGGGGGCAGTCATCAGAAAAGCAAAGAGGAGGCGTCTGACACGGCAACACCCCACGTTCTTCTGGGCTCGTGATGCTCCTTCCTCACGTCCAGTGAGACCAGGATGCTGGACAATCCGGGTCTGGATTGTCCTTCCCGTGGAAAGGGAGCAGGAAGGAAGGGGGAGGGAGGACAACAGAAGCAGAGCTGCTCTTGAATAGGAGAAGGCACTTAACACATCAAAGAGCTCCAATATGTACCAGAAAACTGGGACATCTTTGCTCAGGTTTAACAGAGCTCCTAAAATATCTACGGATGCTGCCAGGGAGAACAAAGGACAACTTTTATTGTGGAATTCAGCAAGCGACTCATTTCCCCGAACGCGGGCTCCCGCTGCCGGGGCCCACTGTGTCACATTTACCTTCTCGGAAAGGCAGCGGGATCTCTTCTTCTCTCCAAGGGCCGTGCTCCCATCCATCAGATTTCAGGCACAGAGAAAGGTGGGAAGCAGCAAAGATACGTCAGCGATACTCACCTGCTACACACAGATTAATTACTTCTTGTTCCAACGAGTACGAAGCTAAAATTACAGATCACCTTCTACTGTTAAATATTTTTGTCGCCGGAGAGGAACAGAGTTTTGCTTGCTGAAATGGACCAGGAACTCTAAGCTATTAATGTACATTTTCAATAAGTTTAGGAAGACTGAAGATGCTCCAGAGGAACAGAGGGAAAAGCAGCTACCATGTCAATCCTGGAAATACATGCCTGGCACTGGCATCGTTAGCACAGGATGCAGCCAATGCAGGAGAGCTGGATAGCAAATGCCAACGGGCATGTTTTTATGACAAATCTGCATTGCCAGGCAAGCATGACATTGGTATTTTGAGTGTATTGCAGATTCCAAATAACCATAAAAAGTTTTGATTTATAATTGGATGAAGTTTGAATTCCCAGTTGTCAGTATACAGTATGACGTTTAATGAATTAATACAGACCGAATGATAAAAATCACAAAATAAATGTTAACTTTCTCAATTATGATCTTTAAATCAAAATTGCATGCTTTTTTTTTTTTATTAAAAAAAAAAGCTTTGGCTCAATTCATAGGCTTGGTGCAGAACCACAACATGAAACATGATACACAGCCTCTGCTGTGTAGGAAACCAGAGTAACGGTGGTCTCCGAAACGGAAAAATCTGTCCCTTGTACATCCAGCTATAACAGATCACAGCCACTGGACAGCTAATTCGGGAAGCGGGAGTACAGCAGGATGCATTTCAGAAGATACTCTTTTTCATGAGTTCTTGTCATGACCTCTGTAGTCCCATGTAATGCTCTCCTCCCTCTTTCAAGTCCTCCATCTGCATCTCCATCTGAGATCAATAACCACTGGATAACTGGAATTCATGTGTGGTCATGTCATGGATTTCTTTCTCATGGTGTTTGTCATTTCTAGAAGTTCCTCGTTCACATAACCAAACTTTTCACATTTCTTCAATAAAATGTGCCTCTCCAGTGCTAGCAGCAAGCACTGAGTATTAAGTAGTTGAGGACTAATCTAAGAAAGGGAGAACAGTAACCAAAAATAAAGAAGATACATTAAATCTCCAGCTTGATCCTATAACACTCAATTTTGTGTTGATTAGGCAGGTAGGAAGTTCTGGCAGGACCAGCCAGATGTTCCCCACAGTGAGGTGCTCACTTAACAGGCTGGTTGGAACTGGGGAGCTTGTGGGGTTAGGCTTGTCTTCTTGTCAAGTTCATCTCCCGTACAAAAAAAAACCACAGACAACTCTTACGGCACCAAAAGTACGTCTACAAACCTGGTTTCTCCAAGAACTCCTGGCATCTCTCCTCTCACAACTGCGGAGTCATAGGAATGGGTGAGAAAGTGGCACTGCCCTATATAGTCTCTTCCATCAAAATTCTTAGTATGCATTGTAGAAGACCATTGAGGCAAAGAAAGACTGCTTTCGTTGCTGCCTTAAGATGTGGAAAGCCAGCCTAGAAAGCTAAAAAAAAACCCAAAATGCATGAGGGCCACCCTCCCCTGGACCTACTCCAACAGCTCCATGTCCTTCTTGTGTTGGGGACCCCAGAGCTGAACGCAGAACTGCAGGGGGGTCTCAGGAGAGCAGAGCAGAGGGGCAGAATCCCCTCCCTCGCCCTGCTGCCCACGCTGCTCTGGGTGCAGCCCAGGACACGGTTGGCTTTCTGGGCTGCCAGCGCACGGTGCCGGCTCATGGTGAGCTCCTCACCCACCAGCACTCCCAAGTCCTTCTCCTCAGGGCTGCTCTCAATCCATTCTCTGCCCAGCCTGTACTTGTGCTTGGGATTGCCCCGACCCACATGCAGGACCTCGCACTTGGCCTTGTTGAACTTCATGAGGTTCTCCCAGGCCCACCTCTCCAGCCTGTCCAGGTCCCTCTGGATGGCATCCCTTCCCTCCAGCATCTCGACCACATCACCCAGCTTGGTGTCACCACCGAACTTGCTGAGGGTTCTCTCAAAGAAAATTAAGTTTATTTAGTAGCACCGCTTGTCTGCTGACCCCCTTGACCCTCATCACTAGGAATCCCTGAACTTTTTAGCCACTTTCACACAAATGTAACAAAAGGGTGGAAATCACAAAATTCTGTGAGACGTGGTGGCTTTCACAACGGCACGCAGAAACAGCCTCCAGCTGTTGGACATTTAGCTACATCTTGAGAAAAACTTGAGCACTGCAGCGACCTGCTATAAGCAAGGGGTACAGGGGGGGCCTGATACATGTTTAAGTTGACAAAATCCCTCGCAGAGCTGCAGAGGAAAGAAAAGCTGCAGCACCAACATCTTCACAGTCCCATACCACAGGAGGTTGCCATCGGAGGCCAAGGACACAAACCACACCTTTTTCACTTAAAGACATTCTTTATTCAATCTTTTTTTTTTTATATACAATATTATTTTTAATCTGTAAAAAGTACATATGCAGGATTCCAGGTCAGAGGCAGAAGGTTTCCACATCAGAAGATAGAGACTTTTGTCCTTTCATTATTTTGGAGGAAAAAATAATCTGTCAGTTTGAGACAAAGCAAGAATAAAGGCAAAATGCAAATCCAACTTTCACCAAGCGATTAGGATTAAAGGCAACAATTCACCGTAACAAGTCAGGCTGTCTCCTCCGACTTCAGTGGTTCCCAAATTTTCCTGGGAGCAGTTTGTTGGAAGGGGCTGACAGCTGAAGCATCAGTGCTTATCACCTCCGCTACGGCTGTGCGCACGGAACTCGCAGAAGAGCTTGGGTCTCCTCTTTGCGTGGCAACTCAACCTCTAGAGTCAGAAGACTGTTTCTCAAAATCCAAGGAGCTAAAAAGAGGGATGTCTTATCAGGGTGAAGGGATGTCCAAACTGCAGTGTGGATCAAGAGCTTGCTTTCACTTTTCCTCTGCTAACAAGAAGCCTGTTTCTTATTTGTCCCCTTAAAACCACGGACTGGACTTACTAACATGTGTAACAAGCTCAATTTGCTACAAGCCTGTTACTACAGCCCTGAGATGTGAACCACCTCGCCACCTCCTGTGGACACCAGGCTACACCATCGAGCCTTTCAATGCCAACGCTATGAACCCCTTCTCCATTCCAACCAGGAGAGTCACCTTAGGGAGGTTTGTAATGTCATTTCCTGAGGGATAGAAGAATGAGCATAAAAGACAGCCCGATGCGGCGTTGCTGAGCTGTCAGTCAGCACAGCATCCCGAAAGGACGACGTGACCGGGACTGTGTCATTATTTTCACTTTCCAGAACCTCGATACTCAACATTCAAATCTTGTAAAATACTGGCTGGGAATATGTCAGTGATTGGGAGGTAGAAGACAGTGATCCACAAATTTGGAGTAGGGAACTAAAGGAACATCAAAGTTCCGTGGCACAGGGACCTGCCTTCCCCTTCGCTCCAGCGTACTTACTATTTTCCATACTTTTCTCAAGTTTTAAGGACCATGTTGTGCGGCAAAATGAACACCCAGAATATCACTCAAGGGTTTTGTTTTTGTTTAGAGGACAAAGCTAAGAAGTTGACTTCTTGACTGCAGGACACGCACAGCTCCAGGGTGGCCAACGGAAGCTGCAGAAATCTGGCTTTAAGTGTTAGAAAAAAAAAATAAATACTGCCAGCAGATCCTGACCACAGGCAAGCTTGAGGTTTGGATTAGGAAAAGAACTGAACATCCTCGTTTTGACTGCATGCAAACAGGAAACAGACAGTTCTGGGATTTCCAGACTCTTGCCCATATCCAGTGTGCCAAAAAACGTACATGATTTTCTGATCTTTATTTCGTCCTGTACGAGGAGAGGGTATTGGAGGAATTGCTAAAGTGGGACAGCTACCTAAAGAAAACGAGGATTGTTTTGTTAAGAGAATACAGTGCAAGACTCGGAAACAACTAGGACTAAAAAGTCATTTTGTGCTTAAATTGACACTCTGTCTTCATGAAAGTCTGTAAGACAGCAGCAACGGGATGAAAATGGCAATATTCTACTGTACCTTGGGGACCCAGAGGGAAAACAGGCTGAACTTTGGGTCACACATAATGCCATCCTGCAGAGCTGAACCTACTTCTTCTCTGTGAAGGACTCAGAACCTCATCAGAAGTTTCAACACCCGTGGTGCTTGGTTATTACGCACCCACCTCGCTCAGAAGCCATGACCTCCAAACTCAGCTTGCTCTAGGAAATCTCAGGATGGAGAGATTGGTGAATGACACAGCAATCAGTCCATAAAATGCATTGTTTTTGATAGACTATGTGCATCAGTAGCTTCTGGAGGAAAAGGAGTTTGTATTTTAACGAGTGATAGAGTAGGAACGGATGGCTGTAACTGGGGTAACTGGAAAATGAGAAACAAGTGTCTTTGATTTGGTACCTGCTGCTTGTCTACACCAAGAAGAAATAGCAGTATTGTACATCTGCTTTGAGAAAAATACCATCCCATAACACGAGATGGCTTAGGTCCTCAACTCAAGCACTCTTGTGGCAGTGAGTACCCCGCTGGGATTCACGGAGGAATTAACCTGAAGGGTCGCTCTGCAACTCACAAGCCAGGGATGGAAGAGCAGCAAACCATGACAAGAAGTTTGCTGTTTCTGGGACTCCAGAATTCTGCCCTTGCTCCTTCTCTGAACAGACTGGCAGCCATTCTACATCTCCATAGGGTGGAAAGTGCCTTTTTCTTTCTTTTTAAGCAGAAGAATCTGCTTTTCCTCTTTCCCCTTTGTACCCAGAGAGATGTAGAACAAGGCGATCGAGCGCGGTTTTAAACTAATAACAGTTCTCGTGGGATGGGTAAAACTCAATTTGAAAACACATCGTATCTGAACATCAGAAAATGGAAAATGACTAGCTCTTCAGTAAGTCACTGAATACTAATTAGAAAAATAAATTTACGTGGGACCAGTAAGAAGAATCCACTTCTAATTTTAAATAAACAAATACTTGAATCAGTATTATTTATTATATCAATTACTTTATCAGTTCCCAAACGATTTTTAAGATACTGCTGCAAATTACAGTAACCAAGTAACTGGTATTAAGGTAAAAACATTGAGATTGAAGGTTTTTCCAAGCTCTATGTTTTCTTCCTCTCAAACTAATGTAATTGTCTGGAAAAAAGCATCAGACAGCATTTTTTCTTAGATCACGGGATGATTTCTGCGTGTAAGTTAGTGTCAAAGACACACGAAAAAGAATTTTATGGGGGAAATTCTACTATAATGTACAGTCAGATATATTATAATACACTCAGAAAAGCTTTTATATATAAAACTTCATATATAAACATTTTTTGAGGGGGAGAAAGAGCACTCACTCTCTTTTGATCTGATGCTGTAGCCCACTGAAGAGTTCTTCCACTCACTTATTATGAAAAAGCAATCAAGACTCAACCTGGGCACTAATTAGGAGGGAAAGGAGCACCTCACAGCTCTTTTTCACCAAAGGGGCCAGTCATCATGGCAAAAAGACTGGAGAGCTATAAAGGGGAATAAAAAGAGAAATTTGAGCTGTAAAGATTCTGGAACAATGGTAAAAAAAAAAAAAAAAGAGACTGAGATATAATTGAAAAGGTGAATAAGTGGAGACTGAAGCAGGCTCTATTTGAGGGATGCTGTCCAGCTCAGGCTAGGAGTACTCAGGGAAAAAAAAAAAACAAACATGCAGGTAACAGCATCTCATTTCTCATAAACTAATGGAAGAAGAGACTCTTCAGTTTCTTTTTCCACTCATATGTCAGAGATGTTTAGGTGGCTTCCAAAGAAGATCATGTTGGCTCCGTACTGGAGCCCTGAGAAGAAAAGGAGTCTTGTAAACTAAATCAAAGGCAGTTTTGGGTTCCTGTCATACACAAACCTGCAAAGAAGGTTCCACAAATAGCATCCAAAGAATGAAGTTCAACTTTTAGGAAAAATACCGATTGAGTGGGAAAGTATAAAGCAGCAAACTCCTGCTGCTTGGCTCAAGGGGAGCCATATATTGCATTCTCTTACATAAATCATGAGAGATGGTTTTTGTTGTGTCATCTCTGTTTATTTAGCTAAAAGAACCAGGATGAATAAGGGAATGGTTTTCCCATGCGACAGGATTGGTGAGGAAGGGAAACTTGGGCTCCTTCCTACCCCTGTGATACGCTCCAGACCCTGTGACTGTAGATTGCCCACGTTGCTGACACCTAACTACTACCCAAATGCTTACTAATTGTTTTTTTTGGATGTCAGCAAAAACCACAGATCTTTCAGCCTTATTTTGAAATGAGAAAATGGGGAGGCAATAGTTTTTATAGTTTAGAGTTTAGTTTTAACAGCTTAAAGGCCCTGAGAATGGCTGCCAGTCTGGACAAACAGATGATCCTTAGAAAATTCAGACAGGTACAGAAAAAAAAAATTCAAATCCTGATGCTGCTGGTGCAGTGACGTTGCTTTTTGTTGTTGCTTTGTTCATGCCATCATCAAATACCAAAAAAAAAAAAAAAAAAAATTAAATCTAAATATTTGGAACCCACCCGATCTGAAGAGGTGACTGGTGTGTTGTTCCTTGCAACAGCCAACAGCAGCAGCAAGTTCCTCTCCCTGGACACAAAAGCCTCTTCTTCCTTGTGCTGCTGCAGTTGTATTGAACATAGATTCCATGTCTTGCCAGGGTTCAAAGCACATGAAGACTCTGTCCTGCAAATACCACACTAATGTGTTTTGGTCATGTATAAAACAGAACTTTTTTTCTTTTTTCAGTTTTAACTTATCTATATGTTGAAGAGCTTTGTTTCTCACGCCGGTCATTTGCTTGACTCAGAGGTCTAGTTTTATCAAGTGTCTGTCTCCTCTCCTGCTTCAAAGTCTCAAGTGGTCCATGTAAACAAATCAGAGCTGAAAACAGTCTTTTTTTTCCTCCTCATAGAGCTGTTTTTATCGATATGCAGGATTTCCTGACAGTGTGGTGTTGGCTAAATGTAAAACAGGCAGAGGATGAGCTTCTGTGTTAAAAACCCAGTTGTCTAATGGTAGAAGGTCATCATTGGAGAAGAGCAGATACAAATACCTGGATAATCAAGACAGAGAGGAAAAATGGCAGGTATTAAAGCAGAGCAACAGACAGGAAGGGGCAACATAGCAGCTTCAGATTCACCTTCCTTATTTGATTCACACTTTTCCTACGAATAACTTAAGGAACCCATTTCTACACCTTGCTCCGTCCCCATCAACAGCTACTTTCTTGCCCCTCATACTGCCAAAACGCTCAGAGTTTGCCAAGTAAGCCAAAGCATCTGTGCAGTGATAATGCTTATTTGGGAGAGGTGTACATTTTGAATTTGAGGGGAATGAAGATGCAGCAGGCATTCCATAACACACGTTTTATGCCTGTCTTCTGAAGGACATCTTCATCTTCCTCACGGCATCACAACCAACCCTTCTGTCTCAAGAGCCATTTGAGCCACCCTGACCTTATGTTCTCCATTCCATCTCAAGGTGATACCAGGAACTGGTCTGGCCATGCCAACTGCATCAACATCAAATATCTAATACCCAGCTCTCCAATGAAGCTTCGTTGTGTCTCACAAGCAGGAAATGATCCAAACCAAAAGCCAATAAACATTTCTGAGCTCCTCCCTAAGAACTGCCTTCTTTTGCAATGCTTGCACTATAGCACATCCAGTTACTGAGCGATGCACCAGTGAATTTTAAATCTCTTTGTGATTATTTAAGATGCAGGCAGGATTCTGGCAAGCCTTCAGAGGTCAGCCTTGTCACCACAGAAGTCCCTTAGGAGCAGATTTCATTCTCTGATTTGCCTTTTATAGGCAGATCAATCATATAACACCAGCTCCTGGGGAGGTACTGTTTCTCCAAGTGGACCTGTTCGAAACTGCTGCTTCCCTCTTTGGGAGTATCAGTTTTAGTCTCCAGAAAATGAACTCGAAGGAGTAAGTGAAATAAAATTAATGGAAGACAACAGAGGAAGCAGCAGTGGCTGACTTTATTTTTACAATGATAACATGGGGAAACAAAGCATTGTGACTAGGTAGAGGAGTCTGGTAAGAAGGCAGCAGGACAGAATGGCCATAGTCTTCCCTCACGTGTGATGAACTTGGAGCCCCTTCTTGAAAGACGTCGTGGTGCCTGAAGCACCTGTACTGCCCCTACCATGACCTGCTTTCTCCCCACGGCACTTTGAGCTCTCAACATCCCAAATCAATCTTTACAGACATCAGCTAGAGCTAAATCCTGAAAATTTGATATCACTGATACTGCAAACTCTGCTGCTGTATAGAAACCCTGTTTACTCCGCAAAGCCTGCATGGCATGCTAGGCTGCCAAATGGCTACAACTTTTTTTGTTGTATCACTGGGTTGTAAAGACAGAAAGGGCAACTTAATGAGTCTTCCTTGCTGACAGGTTTGTGCAACAACATATGTACCACCCCTTCCATCACAAGTTGGCAGAAAGTGCCATCCATATGTAAGCAGAGGCAACAACTAAGTCTCCTAATAGCAGCCAGCAGTAGCTCCTGTCTAGGGATTTAACCAAATAAAACATTCTCCAAACTGTTATGCAGGGGAAAAAAAGAAAAAGAAGGCAGGGAATATAGCCAACTCGGACACTTTTCTTCTAAAAGTATACAACTCACAAGATTTCAGGGAGGTAACCAACAGGAATCTTGGTAGATTTCAATGCCAGAACTGTACTACCACAGTTGCTGATGCACCTTGTGTATCAAGAAAGTTGTCACGCATTAGAAGACACTGTTTCATAGGCAAAACCTCAGGGCAACCACAACTGTGTGACACAAGAGGGCTCTTAATAGCTGGTTTGTGTCAAGGATGAAGGAGATGAGGAGCCATGACATGCTAGCTCGGTTTTAAAAACAGATCTCATAATAAAATCTCCATATCCTATTCCAATCTTTACAGTAGTTCTTGGCATGTTCCAGTGTAGCATTTTTTGTTACTAATCAAAAAGAAACATGGTGGAAGTCCAATGACTTTGAGTATTTTACCATGAACCAAATACACAAGGGAGGGTGTCAGCTTCTGCAGGACGGACTACAGGTGTCCTATTGATTTGACTGAATTGAATATATTTAAGCATGCAAGAGATTATAAAATATGCCTGACATTCTTGCTTACAACAAAAAGCATTCTAGAAAATTATGCTGTGGGATAAACACAGAAAAATCATCCAAGGGCATGAAGGACTTTTGTTCCCTGCATTTATTCCTTTCCAGGGACACACAGAGGAGTAACACGTTCTACAATATCAGAGCATTGCACATACTTGTATAAGACATTTCAAGTCAGTGTCTAAAAAAAAAAAAAAGTCCTTTGCAAAGGGAGTTTCTTAAAAGGAGATAACCTCTCCTCTGCTGTGATGACAGAAATCAAATAGAAATCTTAAAAACTAAAGCTCTTTCAGCATAAGCTTCATGTATGGAAAATTCTGCTCGTATTTTCTGCTGGTAAAATGGGCTGATCTGAGACTCTAAAATGGGGAAAAAAAAAAAATAACGTCCAAACCATAAACCACCCTGACAAGACAGCAGATTATTTGTTGAGTCACGGTATTCTTCTAGATGTTAGCTCTTACAGGAAGATGCAAGCGTGAAGAGAACTTACTTCAAAGTTTCGGCAAGGAAAAAGCTCTGCTGTACGTCATCGTAGGTAGGAGATGAGGAATAGACATCCTTGACACCGGAAAAGCCACCGCTGACTCGGCAATACTTGTCAATTGCCTGCAAAGAGGAAGGGAAAAAGAAAAGGAGAATTTAATCGTATAGCAAAATTTGGAAACATCAAAGGATCAGGCTTGATCAGCAAAGGAGGCAGCTCTTCCCACGCTGTGTTATTCTGTTGGGGATCTCCTTGTCAGAGGATGCTTACGCGGAACAACATAAAAAGGGACCGGGCACATACAGAAGTAAAATCCCTCCAGGGCTACTAACACCACCACGTTTGGCAAACTGTGAGATGCTAACAAAGTATTCTGAGGAAGAATTCTTCCTTTCCTGGGTATTTACTGATGACTGATACTGTTGACAGGATACAGACTCAGAAGACTTCTGCTCTGAGCTGGAACAGCTCCTCATAGGTAACATTAAGTAGAACATCCATCAGTCAATCAATGCCACATGTGCTATGAGGTGCACAGGAAGATGACAAAACATCCCTGATTTTGCAGCTGAAGGAATGTGAAGAGTTACAGGAACTCTCTGACTAGTAGCTAGTCATAGGGACTTACTGAAAGCAGGAATAAAATACTGTACTCATCTTCAGGGACTGTTGGTTTTATCTTATAAACTCTTCTAGCTGCTGCTCTCTCCCCACATTTCCATCTCCTACATGTTCTCTTCTCTGTTTCCCCTTTATACAGTTGAGACTCAAGTCAGCTCGTGCGCTGGGCTGCACAGGAGCTCTTTATCTTTAAAGCATGAAGTTTCAATCCATAAACATTCCATGCAGAAAGGGGCCGATGGATCCATGACTCCCAAATCACCCAGCCAGTCAGCTCCACCACAGTGCTGCAAAAAGCCCAATGGAAGAGGAGGAGACTGGAAAGAACGAGTTAGAAGCCGAGGGCAGTCAGCGCAGGGGAGCACATGAGTTTCGAACGACATTGCTTTTTATGCAGAGAAAACAGATTCCATCACAATTAAGGACCTTAGTGTAGCCTTTGCATACTAGAAATACCAAGAAACAAAGGAGAATTTTCCATTGGACACAGGCATGAAGAGTGCTGGCAGATGTCATCACTGAAATCAGGACAAAAAGTGAAAAGGCAAATGAGGAAGGCACCCAGGAGACTAAGTCACAGCACATCAGGTGCTACAGCCAACCTCCTCCTCGTGTCCCTGCCCACGGCAGGGGGTTGGGACTGGATGATCTTTGAGGTCCCTTCCAACCCAAACCACTCTGTGATTCTATGAAATGCAAAGTTATTCATGGATCAAAGAATAATCCAGACAGTACAAAGTTCTTTCAAATTTCTGAAGACTAAGATTTTTAAAGCAGCAAGAGGAGAGACCAGCAAAATGATGTTACTGGAACAGCTGTGGCTCTAGAGCCTGAGCTTATGCCAACAAAAGTACTGACTGTCTTGGCAAAATCTAATTGTCATTGTAACTCCTTATCTCAAGTGAAGCCTTCTCCAAGTTTGGATGGAAATGCTCCTTTTTATTGTTGAGACTGGAGCCTAAAAAGGCAGTGTCTGGATGAATTCTTTTCAGATGGCACGGGCTAGGGCTACGTTGAGACTATTCACACGCCGGGATTTGGCTTTAACAGGTTTCCTCTACAGTCTGGAGAGAAAGGTGCATGTGACACATTTAGCCCAACAGCATCGCACCACGACAATCTCTTTGCCTGCACGCTCTGGCACATCACAAGTGATGCCAGCTACCGTGTGGCAGCCAAACAAAAACAAAAGGAAAAAAAAAAGAAAAGAAATAAATTGACCAATTTCAGAAGGAATAATACATACGCTGTTTGTGGAACCATTTGTGTTCCTCCCCACGAGCCCTACAGCTGTTGGGCAGGTGTGATATGAATAAACAAGAGGCAAAGCACTTTTGCTTCCTAGGCAGGTAATGAGGTGCCTCCTCTTGCCACTATCCCCTTTTTTATACCACTGCAGAAGACAAGCTTGTCTCTGCCCTGGGGGAGAAGCTCCAACGGTTACAATCCTGCCAGAACTTCCAGCATGTAGAGCCTGACCTTGCAGGTGTTCCTCTGGTCAACGATTCAGCAACCTTGACGCTGCGTGCCACATCTTGGACCGACGAAACTTGCTCATGATTGTGGCAAAACGAAAAGAAAGAACAAATGGTCCCACTGTGAGGACACTGTCTCCTTCAACTCACGTATTCTGGAGACTGAAGACAACGGATAGCACTGAGATCCTGCTCTCTGCTGCAGAGCTCTCATGCTTGGGTAGGTAAGTGCAACACTGGAGAAGCTAGCAGACCTAGAAGCTTGAAGAAAGAAAATGTATGATTTATACTGAGTTTTTTTTCCCCCCCCCTTACAATTACCAAGTAGTCTTGCATCTTCAGAAATTTCTCCTTGGGGAGACAGGCTCTGGCTAGAGCAGAGTTCAGGACAAGCATAGGATTTATCCCAGTTGATCAGAGATCTAGACACTGCAGGTAGTGATGAGCTGTAGAGGAAAAATTCCTCTGAAAGACTGCTACACAGCTCTTCATCCAAACACAGATCAAAAGTTGCCCTTGATCCAGAGGTGTAGGGAACTCGAGGACACTGGCTGAAAAGTTTACCCCACCAAACAAGCTGCTTAAAAGGCACTTGAAATTTGCAGCGTCCTGCCTTCACGCAGACCTCGGAGTACCTGGTGTAGAAGCATCTGATTTGCCACCTGGATACTCTTTCACTCAAGAGCTGGAGACAAGTCTCACGGATAAAACGATGCTGAATTTACTGCACCTCGGAATACGGAGAAGTCCCAGACGACTGGAAGGGTACCAAGGTAATGCTGCTATTAGAAGCATTTGAAGGCTGAATAATTTTAGGATGACATACCTGATGTTAGTTCCAAACAATTACAGAAACACATGTGAAAAATATAGAAGAATAAGAGGATAACTGACACCCATCGGCATGGTTTATAGAAAACTCTCTTGCGCACAAGCTCGATTTCATTCTTCGAGGTCTACAAATTGACAAATAAAGGAAACTGCAGAGCTGTAATAAACTTAAAAGTTTCTAAAGCAATTGATATGATACCATAAAATGTTATGACAAGACAAAGCAGCACTACACCATATCAATATCACTATGTAATTAAAAACTGCCTGACGGTGCTCTAAGAATGAGCTGGCACTATAAAATCATTACCAAATAGAGCTGCTCCTCACAGAGAAGGTTCATCAATCCCTGCAACGCTGCTGCTGGCAAAAATGCCACAGGTAAATAACAGCAGCCAGCGTAATCTGGCCTAAAAAAAAGTGAGTTTCATATAACCAGGCACATAATCCTAAATCTGGACATAAAGGCTGTGGAACTGCAGAACTAGATTAGCCTGGAAAGTAGAGACATTTCAAAGAATTCGGTGGCCACAGGAGACAAGTGGGTACGAGCTCCTGCTAGGATGTTGTGCACCCACAGGGACAGCAGGCAGCAGCAGGGATATAATTCTACGTTTGCACAGGGCTGTGGGTAAAGTGAAAACTGGAAATGCAACTCTAGAATTCACTTTTTAAAAAGGATGATGAACTGACGTGGGTGAAGGCATCTGGAGAAAATGCTTTACAGTGGGAGGCAATACAATTTGTTCAGCATCTTAAGTCGAGCCAGGTAGTAAGTTTATTACAATCCACAAAAACTCTCTGGAAAGAAAACACGAGCGAATAAAAGACATTTTAATGCGGTATAGGAAGTCATAGGAAAATCCAGTGATTGGCAGCTGAAACTAGACCAATTCAAATGGGAAATCAAGCATATGTTTTTAAGAGCACAAGTAATTAAATCATGGAAAACACTATCAGAAGAGGTGGATTTTCCAGTTCCCTTTACTCAAATCAGTAGAAGACCAGAAGGACACACAATAGTGTACTCTTGCCAAACGCACGGCTCGGCTCAAAAACGATGCAAAGTGCAATTTCAAGGCCTGTGACATACTGGGAGGTCAGAGTTGATGTAAGTTCTTTGGAAATAAAATTGGAGGTGCCTCTGGATGAGACCCCAGCTCCCGCAGTTCCTCTGAGGGTGTTTCTGTGGTGGCATGCGTGAGTCTTCTTGACTGTGCCAACAACGTGCCTACAAAGCCGGTGCCCGTTTCTTCCCCAGCTCACCTCCCAAAACACCGCTCTGCGTACTCACAGCTTCCAACCCAGCAACTCTGAACCCCTGTTTGTCCTCACAGCTTCCAACCCAGCAACTCTGAACCCGTTTGTCCTCACAGCTTCCAACCCAGCAACTCTGAACCCCTGTTTGTCCTCACAGCTTCCAACCCAGCAACTCTGAACCCGTTTGTCCTCACAGCTTCCAACCCAGCAACTCTGAACCCCTGTTTGTCCTCACAGCTTCCAACCCAGCAACTCTGAACCCCTGTTTGTCCTCACAGCTTCCAACCCAGCCACTCTGAACCCCTGTTTGTCCTCACAGCTTCCAACCCAGCAACTCTGAACCCCCGTTTGTACTCACAGCTTCCAACCCAGCAACTCTGAACCCCTGTTTGTCCTCACAGCTTCCAACCCAGCATCTCTGAACCCCTGTTTGTCCTCACAACTTCCAACCCAGCAACTCTGAACCCCCGTTTGTCCTCACAGCTTCCAACCACAGCTCCCAACCCAGCACCTCTGACCCCCTGTTTGTCCTCACAGCTTCCAACCCAGCAACTCTGAACCCCTGTTTCTTTCACCTCCAACATATGCCTGGCTCTTTTCTTGGCTTCATCAAGTAGAGAGCTACAGGTCTTTCCACTCCATCTTACTGCCAGTCCTCAATTTGCCTGAAGTCAGCCTGAACTTGAAGTCCTGCATGTTATTTTCACCGTACGCAGAAACTCCGACCGAACCCTGCAGCTTCCCTGGTGCCATCCTGCTCAAAGTCCCCAACAAAGAGCTGAGCCCTTCATCCAAAGAGCTCAGATCAGTCACTGGCTTTACATTCCTGAAAAATGGCTCTTACTGTTTTCAAATAATTAGCCTAAAAAAGATTTTAATAATTTTCTGTATTTACCCTGAATATCTTGCACGTGTATTTCCACACTACTTCAGCCACCTCCCAGCACACCACCATCCCATTTGGCTGGCCCAGGACAATTGAGATCGATGTTGTCTCCAGTGCTAATAAAGTATTAGGGAGAATTAGCCTTTTTTTTTAATTAGGAAAGAGATAAAGACCTGTCACGGAGATTTATGATCGCTGAGGAAATATAAGCTTCAACTTCCTGTTTTTTCTCCCCCCACAGACACTGGATTTGGAGAGATGTGACTAAGCAGGCCTTGGTCAAAGTAGATCATCTGCACTAAAATGGCCAAGTTTGGTCCAAAAAATCAAGATAATGAAGCCAAAAAAAAGCTGCCAATGGTGAAACAGATAAAGCAAGACAGATCTGCATAGACACACACCACCCATCCCGGTGTGCAAATTCCCACTGATAAAAGGCAGAGAGATGTGAGCCAGAAGCGCTAAAGGAACTTAAGTAATGCAGTGCACTTAAAAGCCAGGTGATTCTGCAGTGTGTCCTGGATCATCTCTGAAGTTCTTGAAAGGACAGAAGTGGACCTCTTAACACATCAGTGAACTAACCCAAACGCATTGGAGTAGGGATTCATCCATTCAAAGAAGCAAACGAGGGAGACCACCAAGAACTCTGTCATCGGACACCAGGAAAAATGAGACCATTTAGAACTCGATCAGAACCCAGTTTCCCCAAAGGTTTAAAAGAGCTACCAGACTTCTGATGAAGAAACTATCGTTCCCCATGAAAAGTGTGTAATACAGATTTCAAAGCACGCTTCGGCGGTCGGAAGGCGAAAGGAAAGCGGATGCGGACAGTGTTGTGCAAGAGCAGAAGCCAACTGCTGTGTGTGTCTCGCCAGATTCTTCTCTATTTATAACTGCAGGAATAAACACAACCAGATACGTGTGGATGAGAAGATGGAGAAGCAGTGAGTAGGTGTGAGGAGTAAACACAGGATCTTCTTATCTACACGCAGGGAACAGAAAACCCTGGGGAACAAAAGGCTTCTCAAGCTTTTTAGTATGATGGTGGGGTAAGAAAATCTGTAATTGTGGGAGGGAAGGGTATGCAAAACCATTTATGAAGAGTTGGAAAATATTTTACGGCTCTGTTGGATAAAGGAACTCTTTCTGGAGGGAGAAAGCAGAAAAAGGCGCTCTAAGGACAGAGGCAGTGAAGGACACAGGCTGCCTGACTCACACAACCTCGATGCAGCTGACTGAAGGCTAAAATAAAATCAAATCCTACCCTGCCTACGGAGAAAACCAGAGGCAGGGGAGGAGGAAGGGAAGGTTTGGTTTGAAAGCACTAATGGAGAGCAAGGAACGAAGGCAAACGGAGAAACGAGAACAAAATGCAGTTCAAAGACACACCTTGCAGTGTGCTTCGGAGACAGATCCTGGCATGAAAAATGTACATTTCTCAACTCTTGAACCTAGTACAGAGCACCCAATTTCAGCACGGACCACCAGCCATGGCTTCTGACAGGAGCTGGTGTCAGACCAGCAAGTATCTGCAGACACACGCTGGCAAGGAGCAGGTCACCGAATCCGTGTCTTTGCCACACCAGGAACACGCACAGTTCGGGCAGGAGGGATGACGTGACTCAGTGTCGGAGGCTTTGGACTTTGGCAGTGCTTTCTGGAACCACTGTGACCAATGTGGAACCTCTCTCCAGAGCAACACAGTGTTGGTTATAACAAAACAGTCGACGAGGCAAAACCTAACCAAGGGTAAGACACAGTCTTAAAATATTTGGACTCTTCTACGTGACTGTAACTGCACTGAGGAAGAACTAAAAAGTATCTTCCACCTGATGAACACAGACTTCTCATCAGATCTCTTGCTCCAAGTACTTTTTTGGGGTCTCCTGCCTCTGGAGTGAAACCAGTTTTCACCTGTAGAACACAAGTTCTCCAGGCTCTTGGTTCGTTGCTTCCTTTTCCTCATCTCCTTTGGCTGTTGTCAAAATATTTCATTAGTGTCTTGGTATCTCCAGTGTTTATTCTCATCTCTGAAACTGGCTTTGAGCTGTGTTTCCAAAGGCTGCTGGAGCTGCAGCAGGGAAGTGGAGGAGTTGTAGTAATCCACAGATCTTGAAGACCACCAGAAAGCTGTTTGGCCAGCAAATTCGTTTTGCAGGAGCCCAGTATAGACCAGCAGGTGGAAGCAGTGAGAAGTGTGAGACCAAAAAAGGCTCCTAAATTCAGCCTGAGGAACTCTTTTGGGGATTATGAATATTTTTTACAACTAGAGTATGACATTGTCACGTGAAAATGAAGCCCAGTTATTCATATAGCCCATAACCTATGATGACCTGACAGAGGAGTCATCCATCTACGACCAAAGGGTAAATGAAGGAAGGCCACGAGCACAGATCTGTGTTCATGTCCTACAATGAATGTGGGCCTCTGTAGACCAGAAGAAGCATTTCCAATGAGAAAGACTCAGAAGCATTTTCACACTCGGGAACTTGATTACAACATTCAACAAGTAGATTTAAACTCAAGAAAGCAGCTATACAAGAAAACCCAACTATCTCTAAAACACCTTACAAAAATTGTTCAGTTCTGCCTTATGTGCCACTACTTACTGACCTTCTTTTATGACCTACTTCTTGAGATGCTGTAATTTTTTGTTATAATTGAGTAAATCTAAGCTGACTGGCAAACCTTTTTCCTTCCAATCAAGACAACTAAGAAAAGAAAAAGTCATGATACCAACCCACAGATATGCAAGTACATACTATCTAGTTTACAAACGATCTGAGAACAGCTGTCCTATCACTTTTGTTTTAAGAGCCAACCAAGAAGAAACTGTAAGAATAGCTTTGTCTTGTAATCTCAACCGAGTGTGAACACATGCTTAACAAAGTTATTTATAACATGCTTTCATTTCCCAAGATAAATTACCTCTCCTGGGGGCTGTGGACTACTGATAACAGTAGGAGCCATGACCAGTGGCTTCTATTTCCATGCCTAAAACTCATCAGCTGTATCATGCTGCACACATTTGTCATCTGTGCATGTGATTCAGCAGCTGCAAACCAGGAATAACCACGTGCACCCCCATATGTACCCTGGTTTACAGGAACTTGTGAACATCAATTACCACTTGAAGGGTTTTAGTACCATGAGAACCACAGTGCTGTTTAACATCTTCGTCGGTGACACGGGCAGTGGGATCAAGTGCACCCTCAGCACGTTTGCTGACAACACCAAACTGTGTGGTGTGGCGGACACACTGGAGGGAAGGGATGCCATCCAGAGGGACCTGGACAGGCTGGAGAGGTGGGCCTGGGAGAACCTCATGAAGTACAAGAAGGCCAAGTGCAAGGTCCTGCACGTGGGTCAGGGCAATCCCAAGCACAAGGACAGGCTGGGCAGAGAATGGATGGAGAGCAGCCCTGAGAAGGAGGACTTGGGAGTGCTGGTGGATGAGAAGCTCAACATGAGCCGGCACCGTGCGCTGGCAGCCCAGAAAGCCAACTGTGCCCTGGGCTGCATCCAAAGCAGCGTGGGCAGCAGGGTGAGGGAGGGGATTCTGCCCCTCTACTCTGCTCTCCTGAGACCCCCCTGCAGTGCTGCCTTCAGCTCTGGGGGCCCCAACACAAGGAGGACATGGAGCTGTTGGAGCGGGGCCAGAGGAGGCCACGAAGATGATCCAAGGGCTGGAGCACCTCTGCTATGGA